AGCAGCAGCAGCAGCAGCAGCAGCCGCAGCAGCAGCAGCAGCAGCAGCCGCAGCAGCCTGTTTCTGCTGTGCTTCCCAGCTGTGCTGCTGCTGCGATACCTTCGCCTGCCGAGACAACAGCGGAAGCAGCTGCAGCAGCCCCTGCTGCAGCTGCAGCGGCTGCTGCAGCGGATGTCGAAGCGCGTCGCACCCATGCTGCCGCGCATGCAACAGCAGGAGCAGCAGCAACAACAGCAGGGAGCCTCAGCAGCTCTTCTGTGGCCCCACAGCAGCAGCTGCAGCAGCAGGGGGAAGCTAATGGGCTCCTTAAATGCTTCTCCTCTCCTGCAGCAGCAGCAGAAGTCGTGCTGCGGCCCCCACCGACTTCGCTGCAGCTGCTGCGAGCGCAGCTGCCGCCAGAATCAGCAGCAGCTGCTGCAACAACTGCAGCAGCAGCAGCAGCGCCAAGGAAAATACGCAGTGACGTGTTCGCTGCGGGCTGGGGCAGCAGCAGCAGCAACAGCAACAGCAGCAGCATGAGCCTCCCAGGACGCCTGAGGCCCTCTCAGCAGCAGCCGGTAGCAGCTGCAGCAGGTGGTGCTGCGCTGCTGCAGCAGCAAACACAACCGTTTCCCAGCAGCGAGGCAGTGGCCCACAGCGCGAGGCTGCAGCAGGCGCTGCAGCAGCTTCAGCAGCAGCAGCAGCAGCAGCAGCAGCATGCAGCTACGAAGCCGATCTCTGTATGGCACAGCCCCACACATCCGCAGCAGCCGTCTGTACAGGCAGCTCTGCAGCTGCTGCGGCAGCAGGCCTCTGATGAAGCAGCAGCAGCAGCAGCAGCGGCAGCGGGTGGGGCCTCAAGAAGAGCATTTGATAGGAGAGCTGCTCAGCAGCAGCAGCAGCAGCAGCAGCAAGAAAGAATAGAAGCAGTTGCGCGAGCTATGCGCCAATACGAGGCTGTGGGGTGGCCGTCTCCCTTCGCTGCGGGCAGCAGCAACACCGATGCAGCAGCAGCAGCAGCAGCAGCAGGAGCAACAGAAGCAGAAGGAGGTGCAGAGCTACAGCAGCAAAGCGCTGCTGCTGTGCTGCAGTCAGCACTGGGTGCCCTTGAGGAGAGTTTGCTGCAGGGGGGCCCCCCTTCGACTTTAGGCGCGCCTCGTTCTGCTGCTGCACCTGCTGCTGCAGCAGCAGCAACAGCAGCAACAGCAGCAGCAGCAGCAGGCAGAGGCAGCAAGGAGCTCGGAGAAGAGCTGCTGAGCCACTTGTCGTGGATACGCTGGGCCTTAAAGAAGGCGCAGCTTAACGTGGGGACTTCGCTGCTGCCGCTGCTGCAGCAGCTGCAGCAGCAGCAGCAGCAGGTAACAAAGCAGCTGTGGGGCCCCACAGCAGCAGCCTCTTCATCTGCTGCCCCTCAAATCAAATTCATCCCTCGATCAATTAGCACCCCCTGTCTCTTCGCTCTCAGGGAGTGGGTAGAGCAGCAGCAGCAGCTTGCTGCTGCTGCTGCTGCTGCTGCTGGCGAGATGCCGCAGCAGCACCAGCAGCACGATCCACAACAGCAAGAGCAGCAGCAGCAGCGGCAGCAGCAGCAAGCGGCTGCTGCGCTCGCTGAGTTGCTGCAGCGAGCAGCAGAAGAGACATTAGAGAAGGAGGGTCTCCACCTACCTCGGCTTCAAACCCTCACGGCTTTACTCTTAGATGATGCTGCTGTGCTGCGCTCGCAGCAGCAGCAGCTGCAGCAGCAGCAGCAGCTGCAGCAGCAGCAGCAGCTGCAGCAGCAGCAGCAGTTGCAGCAACTGCAGCAGAAGATGCCACAGGCAGCAACAAAGGAGAGCGAGGCAGCGAAAGCGCACGTCGGAGAAGAAGCAACAGCAGCAGAACAAGCAGCAGTAGCAGCAGCACAAGCATCAGCAGCAGCAGCGGGTGATGCAGATGCTTATCTTGCCTCTCTCAGCAGCCACGCTGCAGCCCGACGGCGGCAGCAGCTGCTGGATGTCGCACAGCAGCAGCAGCAGGAGCAGCAGCAGGATCAGCAAGGGTTTGTGTCCTCAGCAGCCGCAGCAACAGCAGCAGCAGCAGCAGCTGCTGCTGCTGCTTCTAAGCATTTGACTGACTTGGGTTCTTCTCTACCTCGGCTTCAAACCCTCACGGCTTTACTCTTAGATGATGCTGCTGTGCTGCGCTCGCAGCTGCAGCAGCTGCAGCAGCAGCAGCAGTTGCCGCAGCAGCAGCAGTTGCAGCAACTGCAGCAGAAGAAGATGCCACAGGCAGCAACAAAGGAGAGCGAGGCAGCGAAAGCGCACGTCGGAGAAGAAGCAACAGCAGCAGAACAAGCAGCAGTAGCAGCAGCACAAGCATCAGCAGCAGCAGCGGGTGATGCAGATGCTTATCTTGCCTCTCTCAGCAGCCACGCTGCAGCCCGACGGCGGCAGCAGCTGCTGGACGTCGCACAGCAGCAGGAGCAGGAGCAGCAGCAGGATCAGCAAGGGTTTGTGTCCACAGCAGCCGCAGCAACAGCAGCAGCAGCAGCAGCTGCTGCTGCTGCTTCTAAGCATTTGATTGACTTGGGTTCTTCCGCCAAGATTGCTGGGCTGCGAAGGCGCGACAAGGGTTTTGCTGCTGCAGCAGCAGCAGCAGCAAGATCTGCTGCTGCAGCAGATGTGTTAGCAGCAGGCAACATAACAGTGTTATCGCTAGCTCAGCATCTGCAGCAGCCACCAGAGAAAGTGCTGCTGCTGTCTGAGAGCCTCTTGGGGGCCCCCGGGGGGCCCCCCGTTACACTCCAGTCGAAGATAAATGAAGAGGAAGCAGAGTTTATTAGTGATGAATTAAACTGTCTTCATAAGCTCAAACTCAGCAGCAGAACAAGCCCCCAGCAGCAGCAGCAGCAGCAGCAGCAGCAGCAGCAGAGGAGGGCCCCACCTGTTATTACGGT